CAAGGAGGTGGTGGAGGAGAAAAATGCAAAACATTTTCTAAATCTCAGCTTTTATGCTTAACATAGGGTATTTGGTAAGGTTCCTCCAATTTCAGATGCTGCTTATGAGGTCTTGGGTCCAAGAACTGATGATATGCTGTCATTATGGACTGGGGAACTGATTAAAGGCTGACACAGAATATACAGATGCTGTGTTAGGGGATGTTTGATCTGGGTAGTGGTTAGCTGGCAGACACCCCTAAAAGAAGTCAATCTGTTGAAAATTTTAATACATGGTAGGGAAGCATTACACTGAACAGAACAACAGAACCTGGGGGGAAATTGCATTAGTCCTTAGTTGCAAAAGTGGTCTCTGGTTCTGTTATTTGTCTTGACAGAAAGCAGCAAAACAGCTGATATCCAAGTCAGGATTACTCCTGGAGTCAGTGGAGCAGATTGAAGGTTGTCTTTTTCTATAGAGAAAGGAAGATTTTATTAGGCAGGAATAACCCTTTATGTCTTAAAGGGCTGGCTGAAAGTCTGTCCCAGCATTTGCAAGTGCATCTAATTCGTTACCCCTACAGGTAAGACTGAGGCAAACTGAGAACAATACAGAAAAGAATATACCATCTACTAAATATAGTGAGTGGTAGAAATAAGACTGGTTCTGAGGTACATCTGTTGCAATCCCATTGACTTCAGTGAAGTCCCTTCAGGCTGATGCTTTCCCACCACAGCACTCGGGGACCTCACTGGTGGGCAGCAAGTCCTGGCGCTGCACTGGGCAGAGCCAAGCGGGCAGTCCAAGTGCAGATGGAGCAGCTGCAGGAAGGTGTGCTCGCAAATAGGGGCTGGATCAGGCTGGCTGCTAGCTGTCGTGCTGATGTGAGGGTGCCTGCTGTTCTCTTGGCTGCGAGGAAGAGATCCAGTGCAGTGGCCAATGCCTTCCAAAGGAACACAGATGCCTTCTCTGCACTGCTGCCATCATATCCCAGAAGGGTGTGTTTGCAGGACTGAGGCTTGTCAATGCACAGTTTTGGTACTGCTTTCCTTACGGCCTTTTTCTTCCAAATACTCCCAAAGCAAGTAATGAATTTCTTAACAAACCGTGAGCTCAGGTGAGTCCATACAGCACAGCCTTTGCACTGAAAGTCACCTGTTAGCGTTAAGTCAGAGGTTGGACTCGATGATCTTGAGGTCTCTTCCAACCTAGAAATTCTGTGATTCGGTGATTCCTACAAAGACAGACTCACAACTGTTTCCCAGTTAGAGGTGTTCTCCCCAAGATGGGAAGAACCATAGTTTCACGTCGGTGTAGGCACACCACAACCTTTCTCATTCTTAATAACTTTCCTCTGGGTGAGATACCAGTCCTGCATCTCCCACACCTCCTTTATAGGAGCTCCCCAAAGAAGAGAATTTCATTGCCCCTCCAAGAGGACTAGGAACAGCCAGACTGTCTGCTATGGAGTCATCTAATAACTTTCCAGTTAAAGCTAAAGTTCAGGTCCTGTACTTAGGCTTTTTTTCAGCTGCTGGTATTGGTGGCCAAAATTTTCTTTCACTGACCTACAAGAACCCATAGTCTTATTTTTGAGTGTTTTAGCACCCCTCATCAATAGCTATTTATGAAAGCTTTGTTTTTATCCATCCTTTCCTGCAGATATAACCTAATAACACATACAAAGCTTGCCATATGTGTTTGTGAGACTCTTGGCTGAAAGATATAACATAAATTCTGTGTGATGCCTATGGCAAACATGCTAGAAAATAATTAGCCATTGAAATTGCCATGTTAGCATAGATTTAATGAAAACTAATCTTTCTTTTATGATTTAGATCTCTTACATACGGATTTATGAAGTCCCGGTGGATGCCAAGCTGGCAGTGATTGTATTACAGCCATCAGCTTGCTTAATTCTGTTCAGCCTCAGATCTATTGTAATGGACGGGGCTGCCCATAGTAAAAAGGTAACACTAACACATCAACAGTGCCCCTTTTCTTGTTTCCTTTCTCCACAGCATTCTTAATAATCTATGACTACAAATGCACCATGAGATCAGAAAATCCTGGAGAACAGATTCCAGAGAACTATAATGTTCAGCGTCCTCAGGCATTATTGTTGTGTTACTGCTGGGCAGTTTCCCTGACATGGGGTAGGTCAGTGTGAGCATGCAACTTCCACAGAAAGCTAATCTCCCTACAGCCTCATGGTCCGTGTCAGTCACTAGCCCCTCAAATAATTCATTAAACTATTACCCAAATAAAGTACAGTTCAATAAATTAGCATAAACCACCAAGAAGAAATAGGCGAGCCTTAAAAGGGGAATGAAGATCAAATAGAAAAATACAAATGGCGATACATTCAGAGAAACAAAACAAATTAGATGAACACAAATCACATTCATCTGCTGTTGAACTTAAAGGGCAGTTGATTTTTTGCATAGTAATAAAAGACTTTGTTCCTTAACAGTAACCTGTCAACCTGGTTGCTCTCTATACAGTAGCTTCCATTTTGTGTTTCAGGCTTTAATAGTGGTAAAATCTGGCTTCATGTTGGACTTGGTGATAGACTTCAATCATTTGTGAAACTCAACAGCTTCATGCTCAGTAGTAGCAATTTCCTGTTATTACTTATATCTGTTATTATTCACCCAACACCCAATAAACCCTTCAGAGATACACAAGAAAGTCCCAAGTCTAAGCCTGAAGATGGGTGCTGTGGTACTGCTGCATGGTCAAATAGCTCAGCAACACCATGCCACACTGCGACCAGTGCTGGCACTGCCTCCTCAGAGGCCTTCTGCTGGGTCACCATCACTTCACCTGGCTCACCACCCAGCCAGGAAAAGGGATCAGAATTACTGGCACCTGAAGAACTGGTGAGCAGGTGCTTTTCACTGAGCCAAACATGAGCGGAGTGTGGTCCTGCTTTTTATTTTTCTATTATCACTGAATTGTACTTCAGAGGATGAAAGTGAACATGGTACAGGAATCTGTCAAGAGCATAAAGAACATGATTTCTGTATGACTGCTTAGACTTAGCTTTTCCCTGTCCTTCGGTTATTATGACTTGGGATGCTGTTTCATCAGCTCATCTCAATTCAGCAAACCACTTAAGCAAGTGCTTAACTCCAGCCAGGAGTTTAGGCATCCCACATGTTTTAATCCCACGTATCATCTATGTTCTTTCACACATACCTGTCCCCAGTTCAGGAGAGCACTCCAGTACACATTTAACTGCAGTCTTTCCTATTCATTATTCCAAGTGATTATTATTGAAGTTTCTCCTTTCTTTATTTCTATCTCAATCTTAACAACAATCTTGGTTTTTACCTTTTCTTAGCCCTTTTCAAAATCCTTTTTGCTTACATACAGGAAGCGTTTATGTGTCCTTTCACTAATGTTGGCCCAGTATTACTTCAGGTTGACTTCTTGAACAACGTGATGAAACCTAACAGCGTTACCTGTTCATTTCATGCATGTACTCAGGGGCAGGTGGATCAGTCCTTTTCAAAGTACTGGATTACCTACTGGTTCTCACCCATTTCACTTTAGCAAAATGAAGTTCACTTAATGCTTAACCAGAATCCCCATATTCTGACAAAGGCTGGGTAACACAGTCATAGCTGTAATTGTGGGGACTGTGCTGGTACTTGCTTTGTGGCTGCTGAGCTTCATTATTTAATGGCCCAGTCTTGCTACATGGTGTCCTGAGTCCAAGGCTTGGTAGTGAGGGTGGTTTTACTGGACTGCGTGCCTGGAATACCTACTTGGAGCAAGTGGATGGTGTTCATCAAACATAGATGATCCCAGTTCATACTTTGAGCTCTAGGAAATTTCTTCAAGGTAATGAATTACTGAAGGAGGAAGGAATGAACAGACAAAGAAGTCAGTAAATACAAAGTGGAACTGGGTGTGCTGACCTGTGTGAGAGCATTGTGTTGGCTGTAACAGGAATTAGGATTTCCTACATTTTTTCCCTCTGCTTCTCCTGCACCTCCACCACGGTATTGTCAAAAGCAGGTGCTGGAAGAGACCTGCAGTGGCACAATAATATTGTCAGGAGCCTTGCTGACATCTATGTGACATTTGTTGTTTCTTGCCCATAACACTTCTTTCCCTGAGACAGAAATAAGCTCGGTCCTACATGGTTTATTTTTGACAGATGTGTCAGTATTGCCCCTCCTTGAATTACCTTCACTTACACTCTATGAATTCTCAGACAGAACTGATAATAATTCAGTGACTGTGTCAACAGCACTTCTAAGCATCCGAGGACAGTGCTCTTCAGTGTCAGCTGATTTTAAGACATACAATTTATCTAACACACTCCAATCACTCCTTTCGCTCTTCTAGCCCAAGCTGGTTCCCCTTTGCGACCAGCAAGAGCACGTGAGACTCTTCAGTTTCTGTGCAAGCTGTGTGACATCTCCTTGCTATGTCTCTTCATCTGTAACATTACAGTGGCCTCTAGAGGTCCCAGCCCCCAGGAGGCTGTACATAAGTAACAAAAGAGGCAGCCAGGGAACCTGCCTGGGGAGGCAGACCTGCAGAAGGTGGGAGCTGGGAAGCTTTATTATCTCAGTGTTACAGATGGGAATTTGAGACGAACTGAAATTGAGTGATTTGCATAAGATAATGCCAGATGTCTTTGGCAGAGACAGAAGAACACTCAGTTTTTTATATCTCAGATTAATATTTAATAATGTAACTAACAATATTGATTTAATGTAATCAACAGTGCTGGCTACCATTTGCAGCACTGGTGATTTTCCAAGATAAGCTCTGCCTCTCCTATGCATAGAAACTCACCCTTCATCTGCCTGTTCTGCCGAAAAATCTGGTAGCTGTTAGCTGTTTTTGTCTTTGCTCACCTAAGCTGTCAATAGACTTCTGGCACTGATGAGAGCTCTGTGATCCATTACCAATCTGCTGGGCACTCTAGTTCCTTTGGCCTTTCAGTTCTGATTAACAGGTGTAATTAATTGTGCACTGATGAGGCTTGCAGTGACTAAGTCTTTTGCAGTTAGGTGAGCAGCATGTAGATGCTGGAAGGCAAACTGTGAAGAAAGAAAGAAAACAGGAAAAAAAAGCTGTGTGGACTTTTGTTCCTTTGAAGTGACCTTTCAGTGCAGGTCTTTCACTTTTTCATTTCCTTTATTTTGTTCCTTTCCTTATTTGTTCTGAAAGGAGTCAGGCATTCCTTGGGAAGCAATTCATATGTAAAAAGTTTTTGCATTGAGATTCATCTGATAAGGTCTACAGAGGGGACTTATTTGCACTGACAGGTTGGCAGCCAGACAACCTCTGCATTTTCTAAATGAAAGGAGAGTAGCAGCAGGACATCTCCTACCCTCTGCCTTTCGGTGTTGGAAGAGAACCAAAATCTGGCAAGCAGCAGTTCTGGGGATCCAGCTATTTAGGAGTGGCAGAAATGCATGGACACTGGGAATGTAACATAAGGTTTGCCTTCTGTGAGAACTCACACAGACAAGTGACATTTGGGTTGGTGATTTTGGGGGGTGGGGGATGGGAACCTTGACCTACCGGATGCAATTTACTTGCCTTCTTTTCAGCAGTAAGTCCAAACGTGAAATAACCTAAATGGATTTTTAATTCTTGCTTGTAAAAGACAAGGCAAGCACAGAGATTGGTTACAACATAGAATATAAAACTGAATGGGGGAGAAAATGAGCCAATGTGGGATCGCTTTCCTACTTCCTTCAAACAAACCCACAGGGGAAAAAAGGTAAAGGTGCCTCAAAAGCCTGCTTCCTCCCATACATCTCGGTGGTGTGAATGTCAGGGCAGGGACACCAAGTCTTCAGATAGGGTGTGACCATGTGCACCCATGTTTATCCACGTACAACAGCATACATGTTATTGCCTGCTGTGTGTTTTAATCCAGGACACATAACCAGCTGTATAATAGAAAAAGGTCACTTCTTGATTTTTGCCCTGAGTTAGTCTGCCAGGCTCCAGCAAAGACTCTCTACTGCCCAGTGTGTGGCATAGCCTGCATCACAGCATCTCAGGGAAAGGGGGGCAAGAGTAGCAAATAAATGGGAAGTTAGCACAACTTGCTGTTAATACATGCTCATACAGTCCTGCACATGGCGTACTGAAAGAGTGTGTGCTTTTACTGCTGTGGGCTACATCTCCCTGTGCTGAACACTTCAGTGCATGGACTCACTGCATAAAGACCCATTGCTGCTTGGGTGAGTTTTATGCGTGTTTTTTGCAGAGACAGGACTGCCATTAGTCTTGGCATTCCTCTTAATGATGCTAAGGGCACTGGGAAAACACACAGTAAAGAAATACTTAGCTGCATTGCAAAATGTGTCTTAAGTGGAAAAAGTTGTAGTATGGAGATGATACCTGTCATGGTTGCTTGCATATGCTCCAATTAGTCTTTCTCTTCCATTCATTCACAGGTAAAATAGTGCTGATGCTTGAAAATATGGGTCTTCTTGTGTTACCTGCATACGTCACTGATTGTACACTTCTCTTCATGGCCACCCACCCCGTTGAATCCCACTCCTGGCACCTCTGCTCCACTTGTTCCCAATGCTACTGTTTACTAGGGCTCATGTTCTTGAAAGGAACACAGCAGATGTCAGTGACATTGCCGTGGTCATAAAAGTGAGATGAATTAGTATGATGCTCTGCAGAAGGCCAGAAGTTACTCCTTGGTCATACAAATAGCACTGCAGACTAATAGCAGTAAAAATAATTAACACTCCTGCCCAGGCTCAGTGTTTCTGTATATTCTGTACGTATTTATTCAGTAAAGCTAGCACTTTAATTTTAAAGATATAACTAGATAAATGTTCTATTGCTTTTCATTCAATCTTCTTTACAAATTCTGATGTGCATTATATTGAAAGGTTTTTATGATATCACACTTATCTTAAAATAAGTTTGTTTTCCATAAAACATAAAGAGAGGCTGTTAACTGTCTTCTACACAGTTACTATGTTCTTTATCACAAGAGGAGAGGTGAATGTCAACCTTAAATCCAAAACAATGTTATCCATTTCTACTGAATTAATTTACAGACGCTAAACAACTGCCTTAAGTAGCCATGAACACCACTGATGCCTACAACATGAGCCCATCTGCCTGATGTAGGCAGCTGGTAAATAAGGAGCAAATCACAAGAGTTCCTAAGGTTTCGGATAAATGCTTTTCAGAGGGGACCTATGTGTCACACCGTGCTGCTAGACAGGACTGTGCGTGGCTGTGAATCCTGGTGGAAAAACATGACCTGGGATGTTCTCTGGCCCAACTGCCATTTTCCTGTCTAATAGACCAAACACTGGAAATCTCTTAGACTCATAGAATCATTTAGGTTGGAAAAGACCTCTAAAATCACCAAATCCAAACATTAACCTAGCACTGCCAGGTCTACCACTAAATCATGTCCCTAAGCACCCCATTTACATGCCATTTCAGTACCTCCAGGCAATAGGTGGGCAAAAAAAGAGGATGTGGAATGTCTTTAAAGACAGGCCTTTACCATATCAAAGGAAGTGTTGTTGAATTAGCCTATATTATCCAGTGTCAAGCCCCAATGCAGGTAAACGAACATAGCAGAGAAGATGAACAGCTCAGCCTTTGGCTGTTCTTTGGCTAATGCTCTGACTCGGTTATATAGTTGGTGAGAATTTGAAATACAAAGGTTTTTTAGAGCTATATTATTGTGTTTTTTGAAAGATATTTTCAAGGAAAACCAACAAAATCATCACAATCTTTTCCTTCCTTAAATATGACTTATGGTTAGGGCTGACTTGTCCCTCCCTAAAGACCAGCCAAGACATACTGGCAGCTTGTATATAAATGCCAGCAGTTCAGCTGAATTGCACCTTGATGCCCATGCTGATGGTCAAGGAGTTAAGTTAAATGTAAAAATATAAAGTAAGCATAGCAATATTTGGGAAGGCACTTGTTGGCTTTGTCATTCTCTGTCTTCTGTTGGAGTGACAGACATGCAGGTGGGTGAGAGGGGATGCCAGCATCCCCCCTTAGTCATCTGCCTTGTGGGTCTAAGAGGGAGGAATTAAGTATGCATATGAGAAGAGGGCATTTTCTGAAGTTTCAGTAATAAAAACAGGGAAGAGATGGATGGGAGAGTAGACACAAGAGGCTACTTACAGGGCAGGTGGTCTAGCAGCTTCAGCAGGCAGCAGTGGACCTTGGGGTGAGGAAGAGCAGGAGACATCCAGATCAAACCCTTGTCAGAGCAAGCACTGGGCTGACAATATTGTATTCCAAGAGTATATACACCTATTTCAAGAAACAGCAAAAAAGCTTTTCAGTCCCTAGACATGGAAAGGCTTCAGGCTGATGGCTTTTTCAGGCAGCTACTGCTGGAAATCCTGGAGGGACAGATTTCCACGGGGACAGCTCTTGTGCGAGGAGATGCTAAACCAAGGCAAAGGAAAAACTGGAGTGTGTTTATTCAAATATTTATAAGACAGATGACCTGAGAAATTCACCTGGCAGGAGGTTTGATTGCATGCATTTTTCCAATCAGGGTTTCATTGCCATGTGATCAGACCCATACAACGAACAATTTTTACTTTTTAGACCATAAGCCTGGGAACTGGGGCTCCCGCCTGTTCATTTTTCTCATGTCCAGATTGGCCTCAAGGAAAACATGACTGCAAAGCAGCAGTGGTTAGATGTGAAACCTTGGGGTCATCTAATATGGGGAAGTTACAGTGCTTGTCAGAGGTGGCTATCAAAATATCGTGGTATTAATGTGTTGCAGTATTTGAAATGTAGTTGAGTCTCTCTGAATATCTAGCACTCCAGTCACCTCTCAAATCAGAGGTGTTATCCTTCACCTCCTTTAACTCGTATCTAAAATAACGTGTGAAACCACGCTTTTCTAGGTTTTCATGTTACAGCATGAAACGGTGGTTAAAGAAGAAGGAAAACCCTCTGTCTTTCACAGAAGTAGAAATGTGAAGAATAAAAATAAAGAAGGCATTTTGGATTAATGTATGAGTACCCTGTGGTTAGGCAGGAGCCTCTTCCCTGCCTTGATTCTCCTGGCTCCAGTCCTAGCTGCAGTTCACCAGCCCTACAGCTTCTTTTTCAATTCACATTTTCTCTTCTACAAACAAGGGAGAGGCAAGCTTGCAATAGAGTTTGTCCAAAAGTTCTTGTCCAATCCTTCTCTCAAAAGCATAGATAAAGTTTAAATCATAGAATCATAGAGACATTAAGGTTGAAAAAGACCTTTGAAATCATCTGGTCCAACCACCACCCTACTACCAATGTCACCTACTAAACCATGTCCCTGCACACCAGGCCCAACCTTTCTTTAGCTATGAAGATGGTGAAGGGCCTAGAGGGGAAGACGTATGAGGAACGGCTGAGGTCACTTGGCCTGTTCAGCCTGGAAAAGAGGAGGCTGAGGGGAGACCTCATCATGGTCTACAGCTTCCTTGTGAGGGGGAGTGGAGGGGCAGGCGCTGACCTATTCTCTTTAGTGACCAGCAATAGGACCCGAGGGAATGGTGTCAAGCTGCAACAGGGGAGGTTCAGGCTGGATATCCGGAAAAGATTCTTCACTGAGAAGGTGGTTGCACACTGGAACAGGCTCCCCAGGGACATAGTCATGGCACCAAGCCTGCCAGAATTCAAGAAGTGTTTGGACTGTGCACTTAGTCATATGGTCTGAATTTTTGGGTAGACCTGTGTGAAGCCAGGAGTTGGACTCGATGATTGTTGTGGGTCCCTTCCAACCCGGGATAGTCTATGATTCTGTGATTTCCTTGAACACCCCCAGGGACTGTGACTTGACCACTTCCCTGGGCAACCCGTTCCAATGCCTGACCACTCTTTCAGAGAAGAAATGTTTCCTAATTGTTTTAATCCAAGGGAGTGTCTGTGAGTTTATGCCAGAGTAATAAACAGCAACATATCATCCCATCTGAAGTCAGCTGGGAGAAAATCATTTCAGTTGCTAGGAGAAGTGTTGCCTGTCCACATCTTGATTTTTAAGCACCTACTGATACATTCTGTCAGGGTGAGTGTAAGTACATGTAGCTGTGAAAGTACCCTTAAAATGTCATAACAAAGTCCTGATTCCTACAGTTGTGTTTATTGCTTTATTGCTAGGTCTCAGTGTCTTAGTGTCTTCCTCTGGCTTTCAAGAGCAGCAGCAGCATGGGTGAGGAAGGTAGGGGTCACAGAGTTAGCAGAAGCTTTTGTGGTGCTCTGGATGCTAACGATATTGCCAGTGGCTGAGTCATTTGACCTCCACTGGCTGTAAAACTTTATTTTTTAGTTGATTTTTTGAAAGGGCCCTGGATTGTTTTCAAGTGTCAGTAGAGAGAGAATCATCTGCACAGCAGTGAGGGGAGAAAAGAGGGATGCAGAGGGGAGCTGAAAGAGCCCCAGAGGAGGAAGGGATGCTGTGTGTTTTGTCACCTCACTCCTTCACTTCTTCTGGGCTACACCAGCGCTTGTAAAGTGAATGCAAATATGTGATATGCAATGGAAATGGAAAAAAGAGGAGGGATTATTTTATTATTTGGAGGGATAATTTGCATTCAAGTGCTGGGATTTTCCAGAGTGCAAATCAAACCAACACTGGGAGACATTTGTGTATGTGTTTCCAAGTCACAAAATACTCCAATTGCAAGAGCTGTTAAAGGCCTGTGGGTGTCAGACCTTGTTTCAAAACAGGGCTCTTTCCAACAGCTAGTCTTAATTCTTTACCTGAAGCTATATGTGTAGTAGGTGAAGATCTCTATGGTATCACAGAGTAAGAATGATAAAAAATAATGTGAACAGCTAGCATCACTAGCCATCCATCGCAACCCATTCCTCTCACAGATGACTGCACACTATAAAGCAGAAGGTTTGTAGCAAGAGCTGAGAATGTAAAGTCTCATCACAGAATATACTCCATACATACTGACTATTGATTAGTTGCAGCAACATTTTATTCAATTTTAGCATATTTTCATACCTCTTAAGGGCTTCTTGTCTTCTTTTTGAAGTCAGTGTTTCTATGATAATAAAAACTAGTGATCATGAAATAAAAATCAGTATTTCAACTATTATATTGATAGATTATATATCACTAGTATTAGACCATGAGTCCCTCAGTCCACATTGCTGCTCCTGACCTGCTATGAAATCTTTAAAAAATACATAAATAATAAAAACATGAAAAATAAACTAACTAAAAATCAAAATAAAACCTCAAACTTCTAAAAAAAATAGACTAGAATTCAACTGAAAACATTTTTACATTTTCTCCTCACTGGAGATACCATTAATTTTCATTTTAAAAAATGTTAATTTCATTTAAGCAAATGTTACATCTTTTTGACTGGTGAAATTGATGCAGAGGTCCAGATCCCAAGAAGATTTTTTCAGCCTTTCCTATTTGCAAGATATATAACCTGATAACCAGATATAAATGCAATAATTTATTTTGAAAAAGGAATCTTATAGAGGAGATGTGTAGCAGACTTGAATAGGTGTTATGGGTCTTACACATTTAAGAAGTTCAGAATTTGGCAGTAGATGAGCCTATGTAGTTCAATATCTTGCCTAAACTAACATACAGGAGAATATGTGTGTGCTATTGTTTGTGTGGTGTGTAAGTTCTAGAGCATAAATCAACATGGTTATGGTTGTGAAGTACATGTTTATGTAAATCTTGCTTGCTTTTGAGGTTATGTTTTCCCAGACCAATATTTTTGAGGGTTTTATTTGTTTGTTTGCTTGTTTCAAGCTATTTTTCCAGGAA